TTACGCCGCTCGCCTTTACTTCGCAAGACCTTGCCTGGTTGACCTGGAAGCCAAGGTCGATTTTAAAGGGCAAAAAAAGAAGGATCCGTCATGATCTGAACCTACAACCTTTGGACACGCAGGCGAGCATCTAGCTGCTGCACCACGGCTGCTCCCGCACATGTTCTGTCTCTGTGTTATTTAGCATTGGCGCTCTCTACAACATTGGACTACTGGCGTTTTTTTTATTTTATCACCGAACTCATGATGCCAACAATTAGTTTTAATGAAAGCAAAATAAAAATAAAATAATTTCTGTCTTCAAAAGATGTCCTTTGCTGGGGGTCAATATGCTCTAAATTATTGTCACGCATCTTCCATCTGATGACTCCCCCCTCTTCCCTCCCCATTTTTTTCTCCTCCCTTCAACCACACCCACACACACACGCGCGCGCGCGCAAATAATTGACGTTAATCAAAAATAAAATTTATTTTATAAAATCATTAGATGATGTCAGCTTTTCTACACAGGCAATGGTGTGTGTGTGTGTATGCGCACGCGCGTGCGTACGTGTATTTGCTCGCTTTATACTAAGTGAAAGTTGTTTAGTTCTGCACTCTCTGGCATCAATGCTGGCCAACCTCACAGTGAGCAGACTCAAAAGATTAACCCGTAAATGGAGAGAATGATGCAGCGGGACATGTCTAGGAGCTCCAGGGCACCGCTCGAAACTAGGAGGAAAGGCAAGACGAGTAGTTAACACGTTGACAACGAGTACGATCAACATGGATACTCATCGCTGGTTGTTAAGGAGGGAGACGAGGCTGATAAGGGCGTGTCCTGAATACTGTTATGTCGAATCTTTACCCAGAGGAAACGAGACTGTAGCACTGGCTGTTGAGGAGGGAGACGGGGCTGATAAGTTCGTGGACTGAATACTGTGATGTCGAATCTTCACCCAGAGGAAACGAGACTGTAGCACTGGCGAAACGGATTAAACAAGTGTGAGCAGGTGATCTGGCGACACTCAATGTGCAGGTGACAAGACTGGCGGACTGTTAATAGGCTATTGATACCGGTACATACAAGGGCGCTGCGACACAGAAATTGTTGGAGATGGAGGGCGACGACTAAGTGTCCCCCACCTTTAACAATTTCTACAGGACAGGATTAATCAATGGGCCTAAGCCTTATTTATGTGTACAATAATAATTACTTTTATGTGGTGAATTTGGCAAACAGATATTTGAAATAGTACGAAACATATAAAGAATAAAAATCATTAAAAAAACAACACATCTATATATAGCTGGTGGTGGGGTCACTTAGCTAGCTTGCAAAGTTGTTTATGGAGGAGAAGCTGACTGAGCTACTTCAGGTGACCTTCAGCCCCCCCCCCCCCCACTCCCCCAATAACGTATCCTAAAATGTGTGACTGTCCATGGTAGCGCATGCTGACAGCTGTAGAAGTGGATAGAAACATGTATGGGAATGTAAAGAGTTCAGTGACGGCAATTCCTGCTCCATTCCTTCATCCACTGTTAACGCCTTTGTCGTTCTTGAGCACAAGTTCAGCGCAACCATTCATATTGCGCGTTGCAGTGTATTTATTGCTTCATCAGTACAAGATCGATGTGCGGGTGCATTGTCATTTAGCAAAATTTGTTTGTTCTTTCACTTTCGATGGAAACGCTGGGGAAACTGAACAGAAACTTACTCATAATAGCACCCATTTGTTTTCTCCAGCAGAGCTAATGTCCCGAGGGTGACCCAGCAAGCAGAATACAATATTTGCCATTTATACCATGTTCAAACAACGACCTCTAACGACACTGCGCTCACAAGAGGCAAATAAACATGGGACAATTTAAGTCGAGAGTATATGTTTGTTTTCAGCAGAGTCATTGCCAACTGAAAGAACTATATTTTCTACAACAGAATCAATAATTCAAACGTGAGTCAGTGTTCAAAGAACTGTGAATCTACCTCGTATTAAATTCATTATTAATACTCAATTACGTAGCTAGCGGGTCATTGGCAGTGCATCGCTCTCACTACGGTCTGCCTGAAAGAAACTCAGTCTCCCGCCACCTCTCCCATCTCGCGCAATTACATCCTAAGTTACTACTTATATAATGTGCTCAACTTCGTGCTGGTCGCCCCCTGCCCCTCTTCTCGGTGCCATGACTTCTGCTATTATTTTTTCTAATCCGCCGTAGCTCCTGATATGGTCCGAAAATATATTTAAGTTTCTGGGATAAGATGTTGCTCACTAGCCTTTCTTCCTTGGTGTTCACTAGCCTTTCTTCCTTGATGTTCACTAGCCTTTCTTCCTTGATGTTCACTAGCCTTTCTTACTTGATGTTCACTAGCCAATCTTCCTTGATGTTCACTAGCCTTTCTTCCTTGATGTTCACTAGCCTTTCTTCCTTGATGTTCACTAGCCTTTCTTACTTGATGTTCACTAGCCTTTCTTCCTTGATGTTCACTAGCCTTTCTTCCTTGATGTTCACTAGCCTT